TCTTGTACTCTTTTGAGAAGATTTCGAACCCTCTTATTCTTTTACTTTTTCTCTTAATGCAATTTTATTCAGTTATGTTTTGTGATTCAATGATCATGTCTGAGTAATCTGCTAGTTAAGTTAGGGCTTTTTCAAAGGTTGATGAAGGGTTTGTAGAATTGCTACCTGTTAGGAATATCTTTTGGTTTTTCATCTCTGCTTGCTTTAAAATCGAATTTCTTAGACACATCATGTAGAAATTCGAAAATCATAGGTTGTTAAATATATGTGAGAGCATTATTGATAACCTGAACTAGCATTTAATGAGCAAAACAACTTAGTGCAAAGAGATTTGGCTTAGGAGTTTTGTGAACAATTGAATCTGATCATATTTTTGTTTAGGTTGTTAGGATTTGCAAAGAGATTTGAAACTCTGTGATTTAGACATAGTTAACTTCTGCAATGAGAATTGATTAGTTATATATTTGATATTCATGTTCAAAACGGTTCTTAATCATTCGTGATTTCATGCATTCCACATTCTTGGATTCAACCTGCGAACTGTCCTGACTTAGCGCTTTTAATCTTCTGAAACATAGATCAACAACTTGAATTTCGCTTGCTTACTTTATTTTATCATTTGCATTACATACATTACATTCTGCTTAGTTTAATCTGAACCTACATTCGATAGTGTAGTTTGCATTACTCCTTTGGGATTCGATACCCCTTGTACTACAACTGTTTTTGCTGTGCACTTGCAGTAGTTTTATTTGGGTAAAACTTGAGCCCTATCAATCGGAGGCGCATAAACGTTAGAATTCTGCAACTGAACCGGGAAACAGAGATAGCCATTGAGAATTTGCAATGACTCGGTCTAAGCAACAACGGACTCTATGGTGTCCCCTGTTTCCACGCCAAGACATTCTGTTTCCTTTACGACGCAAATCAGTAAAATCGCTGGAATTATACATATTCCGAAAACTCTGAAACGGTTGTTCAGAACGACGAGCACCCCCTAGCTTTTCTGTATCAGTTAAGATTTCATTCAAGTCACCAAGAAGAAGCCAAGGTCCATATCGTGTTTGATTTATATGTTCTATCCGTTCCCAAAGATCATTACAAAGTGAGCGATTTGGATGTCCGTAGACACAAGACAAATAGAAATTCATACCATTGAAATTGATTGAAACATCGATCATACGGATCGATTGGTACAAAGTAGTAATAGATATGTCTTTTTCTAGAACAAAGCCAAACCACCGCTATGACCTTGTGGAGGAATAGTAGAAGAGAAATCAAATTCTAATAGAGAGCAAACATCTCTCACTACATCACACTTATTCATTGTTTCGATTAGAAATAGTAAATCTGGTTGAATCTTACGACACATCTCCTTCAATCTTTGTTTTGTCAGAGGCGATTCTAATCCTTGACAATTCCAGGAGATTGTCCGAAGGGCGTTCTTCAGAGACGTTGAGACACAGGACCTCCGTTGTTCTTGTGTTTTGTCTGATCAACGCTGTAGGAGTGTTCTTGATCATCATCACTCTCTAACTTGATCGGAAACAGGGCCTTCTGATCGTTGGTAATAAGAGGGGTGGCCGCTTGACGTTTATGTGTTGCAAACTCTTCTAGGAAGTCGTAGGAGAGCTTGTAGGTAGGGTCTGTGTCGTACCTCTCATCATTACTTTTGCGTTTGGCAGGAGATGGGCGTTCTTCAGGGCATACAAAAGCATCAAACTCAGAAGACATATCAGAGTATTAGTGGTTGTGAGGGATGGCAGTTTTCGTTGTGATTCCGGGTATTGGGGTGAATGTATCGTCTGTGAATCCTCTATGATACAAAGCCGCCATGAAGCTTGACTCGGCATTGTCAAATTTGCGAAGCATTGCTTCGAGCTTGTTGTGCTTCGTTTCATCAAAACCAGAGTGTTGATCGAGATAATCCTTTAGCAAAGCGGTAAAATTGCCTTATGTAAATTTACCCCTCTCCAACTTGGCAAAAAGATAACGCCATGTTTCGGATACCATGTCTGTATCATCCTTTATTTCAAAAGGTGCATTTTCATGGCACCCTTTCGATTCAGCATCGCTATTCTCAGCAGCGGCAGTTAGAGGTTCCAAAGGATTGTTCGATGGGTTGGAGATTGTGTTACCGGCTGTCTGTGTTTCATCATCAATTGGAGGATCCGGAGGGTCGTCTTGAGAATCCTCCGTGTCGTAAAGCAAGGGGCATTCTTTAGTCTCATGAGTGAGAAGACCACATTTTAAGCAGAAATTGCATAGTCTTTCATAGCGGAGTTTGAGGATTGTGTTCTCACCTAGCACGAACTGGAAGAGACGCTGGAAGACGAGAGGTGTGTCAATGTTCCAAGCGAGTTTGATGCACACAAAATCAGTTACTTGTACCGCTTCATTAAAGTCAATGTCCACCATCATACCCAATTTACGGGCAATATACTCAATGAGAGCACGGTTGAGAAACTGTGGTGGGATGCCCCTGAGTTGGATCCAGAACAGTATGATTTTGAGCATTTCGTCAGTAATTGTTGGTGACCAGCGTCACGTGACAATCATCCATTCATTGAAAGACCATGGCCCCCTTTGAAGTAGTAGATTCACGGCTTCCTCTGATTGAAACACGAACTGGAATTTTTTGGTATCCAAGATTCGTCCAATGGTAGCATCGCTTAAACCCCATAGTCGAGGCATCGTAGTGATCAGAGCGCGGAGATTCTGTCGTTTGGGGTTAAGGAGGGTGCCAATGATTGCATAACGGTTCGCTTAAACCGCTTCATAGCAAATGGATTGGGGTAATGCTATTGGGGATTCAGAATGCCCCAAATCGATATCCTGCATTTTTCTGCGGATGTTGTCACTCATAAGGAAAGAAAGCAGAGTAACAATTATACAGTAACGATGAGCGTAAGACACATATATAGTAGTGAAGCCATGGCGGTTTTCCTCTGTTCCCGGATGTGAAAGAAGGAAAAGAATAATCGTTTGAAAAAACTGTTCAATGGACAAAAACCGTCATTGCTATCCCCTAAGGATCGGAACAACCGATGGACGAGACTCACAGTAAAAATTGAATAAGAAAAGTGGGTTTCGATTTCAATTTTATCACGAGAGAAAGAGAGAGAGAAGTTAGAGAAAGAAATATTTCGAAAACTCAAAAAGTCAAAACTAATCCTGAAAATCTGTAAGAAACTTTTGTAATATTTCTCCTGCTAAAATTGAATAAGGATATACGATCATGATTCATAATTCTTATCACGAGACACAAAATCTCATAAACCTACACATTGCAAGCAAGTCAATTGATGATTAAAAAATAATTCAAGAAACCATTTAAATATCACAAATTGTAAGCACAGATAAATTATATATACATTTTAGTCAGCAGACGATAAGAGTTGGAATATATAATAAAAGTACTCAACAACACTAGAAGAACCACAAAAATTTGAAAATCAAAAATACATTACTGGTCATAGATCTTAGTTCATTGGGTGTGCAACATTATTTCACGTTTGGACCAATAATTTGCCATTGAATATTATTTTAGTTAATTTAAGTAATATTATGGTGATTGGCACCGCTTATATTTTTTCACTAAGGAAAAATAAGGGACTTGCATTATTTATTAAAGACAAAAAAGAATTACAAGGAAACAAAACCTAATTGATTCAAGTAATGGCAACAATAAAGTAATATGGTATTTCACTGTTCAACTAAGAAAACAAGTTCTTAATACTAATAGACCAAACAAGAATGCTAAGAAGAAGCTGAAGACTTCGAGTCACCGCTTCAAAGAGGTGATGGTGACATCTGATACTGTGGAGCATTAGTAGATGAATCAGCTAACGGAGAAGGTGAAGGAGACGGAGAGGAGCTTGGTGACCTGACCGGTCCAGGAACCGGAGCAGCCACGGGACCCAACGAGGCCGGGAAGACGAGGATGTCAAGCTTTTGTCCTATGTCGCAGTGACCAGGAACTCCGCATATAAAGTGTTGGAATCCCGGTTTGGTTAGAGTCACCGTGTCAGAGCCGGTTTGGTATCTTGCTAGCGGTTTAGACGGATCGCACAGCTCGAAATCATGGGGAGTGACTTGAGTAACGTCGTGGAACTCGTTGTTGTATTCGAAAACCAAAGAGTCTCCGACTTGAAAAGTTCTTGAAGAAGCCCAAGCCTCGTAACCAACCCCCATCATGGTCCATCCGTTTGCGTCGCCGACTTTGTGAACGGTTCCTCCGACGGCAACACCAAGAAGTGCCACAAGAATCAGCAAAGAAGTGAAGAAGGATTTGCCCTTCATCAAAGCCATGGTTGATGATTTGGTTCTTGTTCTTCTTTGGAATAGAGAGAGGCAATACGTTTGAGAGAGATTATGCAAGAGTATTGAGTTTGTTTGGTGAGAAAGGTGAGCCCGTAAGAGTGTTTATATAAGAGCCGGTTGTTCGATAAATGATAATCTTTTTTCTTTTAGGATTTGAAGATTTGGATAATATTCACTAGTGTTCCATTCATGAAAAGGATACACAACGACCGTCTCTAATTTAAATTTACTTTTCAATTTTTTTTTTTGTCCATGAGACCTGATTTGATATTTGTACAACATCAAATTTCCTTTTTAACGATAGTTTTCATTTTAATTCCTATACAAATATCTCATCGTCAATTTAATTATTATTATTATTATTATCACATAATAAAATCAAATGAGTATCAAAATTTAGTCAAATTTACGGTTGACTATTTTTTACCAATACCAAACCAATTATTTTGGTCAAATAAAACCATACTGAACCAACAAAAGTGACCGAAATCAATGTTTTGCCTTTTCATTCACCATTTTCTTTTCAGTTTTTCACAAAGAGCTTCGTTTTTACAAGCGAAGGAAAGATAAGAATATATACAGACACAAACATGGCATCCAACACTCAAGAGCTCTTATGTCCAAAACCGACTTCTCTTGAATGTTGTTAAACGACAATTGCGTTTTCCGGCGATCTCTCAAGCTGCGATTACTATGATAATGATGAGGAGAATGATACCAAATATCACCATTAGTAAGCACATCTGCATAATAATAACCAGAAAGAGAAAGAAAAAAAAACCTGAGGAACCTGAAGAAACGATAAAAGCAAAATGATTATTTTTCCCTCGTTTTTTTTTCATTTTACCAGAGACGAGTTTGATCTTTGCGTCTTGGAGGCTTTCACGAGATGAGACTTTCCCTGAGCTGTTGAGGAATATGCATTCTCGACATGGCTACCGATATCATCTACCAGAAATACAATTTTTATAAAGACGATTGAGAATTGGAATCAAAAGCATTCTTTTAGATTCTTCACTGTTGAATTTTGCTAGAGAGATTTTTACCGATCATGGCTCCTTGGTCGTGAACCAACACCGCAAGATCTTTAAAAATCTCGTTTACTTCACCGATTTGCTGCTGAACTTCCTGTATTCCCTGTTCTCTTTCCTCAATCATTGCTTCGTTGAAGGATATTTCGTTGTCAAGCAACACAACTTCTTGCCTTCAGATGAAGAGAGAGAGAGGTCACAAGCATGAAACACAGGAAGTTAACCACAAGAGAGTTAAGCAGCGTATAGAACTTACTTACCTTCTAGATTCCATGAGTACACGCTGCTCTTGTGATCTATTATCATAGCCAATTTCTACTTCACTGGTATAGGAAAAAAAAACAGAAACATCAGTAATAACTTCAAGCTGGCTATAAGAACACGAAAGGTTTTTTTACTGTGAAGAAACCACCAGTCAAGAAAATTACAGGTAAAAGTAAACTTAGAAGTCAACAACGTTTTCTTCCAACAAAAAAAATTAGTAGACCAATCAATTAATCAAACTCAAACAGGAACACACTAGAGGTTCCCGATATTGAAATTGATGAATACAGAGAACATAGTGTGATTATCTCTCTACCGTTAAAGTTGAAAGTAACAAAGACCGGTTCTTCTGATGCAGTTTTTGGTTCAATACCTTGAAGAAAGGCTGCCTTTTGGATCGAAAGAAGTGTAAGTACTTTCCCTTTCAGCTGCAATTCGTTGTGCCTTCTGAAACTCTTTCAACACTGCTTCGAAATCCTTTGCAAGCTTAGCATCTGCAATCTTCTTGCTTTGCTGCAGCAAATACCAATTCCATAAGCGAACCATAAAGATAGATAAACAACAAAGCAAATCTCCCATCTTCCAAGTCAGATATCTTGAGCACAAAAAAACACTTACAACAACATCTTGATGATGATCGGTTTCACTAACTTCCTTAAGTTTTGCCGATGTATCCTTTACCAACTGCCCAATATGTAACCTTGTCTTGTGCCTGATGATGATTAACATACAAAGCAATCTTATTTACCTCAGACAATTTGAATAGCTCAAGAGAAAATCTCCAAATTATACTCAAACATTAGCTTGCTGATATGAAGAACCCACTGAGTTTAGTCTCTACACTTTAAACTGTCCTTCGAGCAAGAATCTCAACTTGGCAGATTTACATAAAGCTAACATTTTTTTAGAGAGAAATCGATACGATCTTTTTTTTTTTTTTTTTTTTTTGGCTTCTCCTAATCGTATCCAATAAGTGAAAATACGGTACTCATTTCGTAAATAACCCTAAATAGTTCGGGCATGATTTCGCCGGTAAACCTAAAGTAGACGACTGAGATTAAATGCATGAATCCAGAGAAAAACCCTAAAATCACCAGACTCACAGCTTGTCACGGAGCTCCGGCGTATCCTTGGGTGTGCCGAGTGTATTAACAAGTCGCTGGAAGGTAGAAACCGCCGTGTTGATCTGAAAGATACCGGAAGCCACCGCTTGTGTTCCATCCTTTTTACCGTTGATCAAATTTCTCTGCGATCTCAACGGCGTCCCAGCTTCCAGATCCTGAAAGCTCATCTCCGGTTTCTTTCAATTTCTCCGGAAATTGGAAAAAACAAAACAATTCTAGAACGTGAAAGCGAAATTGAAAGCTTAAGGAAAACGATGGAAGAGGAATTAACAACGATCGATGAGAATCTGCGAACGTTGTTGTCGATATGATGATTTCTGGGTTTGTGTTGGAAGAAAAGCAAATCAAAATTCGAAATTGCTTCCAAGAGAGGATATTAATTTCTTTTAGACAACGATTAATTTTTATTTTATTTTTTTGGCTTATCTAAGTCGTAAAAGTAAAAGACACGTGAAAGAAGCCAGAACATGAGAATTTGACTACGCCTGCGTTAATCTGGGCCGTTTACGTATCCATAAAGTCATATTGGGTCGTTTTTGGGCAATATTCATAAATATTAAATTTTTGTTCTCTCTTCTCTAATTAATTATGCCAACAAAGGGGAAAAATTCAATAATATAACCAAAAATTGTGCCAACAAGTAAAAAATAAGGAAAGAACAATAAAACCATGAATTACATTATATGGAAAAATCTCAGAATTTGAGGTGGCACTTGGTTGACTGAAAGTCAAACCCTCCGGATGATTTAGAGGAAGAATCCAGTGGCACCTTGAGACGGCACCGTACTGTTGGCTTCATCGGCCATGTGACTAGATGCAAAAACAAAACCCTAGATTTAATCCGCAGCTTCACATCGATTTCGTAAACCCCAAGTTTCTTACCATCTTCAAATTTCGCAAGACCGTGTTCACTGAGCAAAACTAGGTGTTGGCCTTGGAACACTGTTTGGAGAGCCTTCGTGCTCTTGTGGCCTTGGTAGAACGACGGCACGGAGACGGATGCTAATCGCTGACCACTGTAGTAAACCATGGCTTCAAGTTCATCGTAGTGGATTCCGATGTGACTGTTGGAGTTTCGGATGGCGAAATTCAGAGAGATGTTGTAATGGAGGTTGCTGTTGCTGGCGTTTTCGAGGTCGAATCGCGTTATCACCGCGTCGTGGACTTGAAATTTCACGGCGTTGGATCGGAGCATCATCCAGACGAGAAGTGATGCTATGCAAACGAGACCGATTATATTTAGGATCACTGCTACGAAAAGACAGATACAAGTAGTGATGCAGTTGCAGCCACAAACGCAGCAGGAGACGCAAACGTCTTCGTCGTCTTCGATCGCCATTGTGCTCGTTAGAATGCTGTGTAGAGTTGAGAAGAGAAGAGAGTTTCTTCTTTTATAGACGTTTCTTGCCTTCCATTGTTTTCTTTTTTTTTGAGTGGTTTATAAATGGAAATATGAAATAGTTTATATAAGAGAAATTATGTCGTGTGATCATATAAACAATCTAAATTTATCAAATAACCATAATATACAGATGTTATGATATTCTCTATATATTTTACAATATATACAAAAATACATTTTTTTTTATCCTCTTCTCTTCTCATCGCCTTATTCCTTTCACTGTCTTCTTTTCCAATTCTTTTTCTCTTTCTCCTCATTTTCCCCTCTCCTCCCTTCCCCACATCTTCTTTTCTCTTCGGTCTTCTTCTTTCTCTTTTTCTTTTTATAATCAATTTTTTCTATTCATACTATATCAAACGACTACTATTTTATAAAATTAATATATAATATAGTACAAAATATAATATAGTATAATGTTATATTCGACAATTAATTGTAGGGTATAGTTAATTTACAAATTATTCAAATAATATAGTTATATTCTTGTATTTTTTTGTTATTATGGTTATACAGTAAATTAAGCCTCTATATAACAATCAAAAGTAAAATGGAAATATTGCCGGTAAAAGCATTAAATATTAGGTTAACTTTTGTTGGATACGTGTTGTAATCGTAGTGTTTGTAAAATTTGTTGGGCCCTAAATGGGTTTATACCTTGCTTTACTTTTCATGGGTTTAATGATAATGAGACGACAAAAAAAAGTCAGACAGTCATCCCATAAGTTTTGAATGTTCGATAAACAGAAATTTATAAATTAGATTGGTTCGATAAATCAGGCCCATCGGGCCATAATGACTTCTCCTAAGTCCTAACACGTAAGATGATGGACGATGAGGATTGCATCACTCGAACGGCGGAGATCGATCAGTGACTGGCTGACGAAAATGGCGATCATCTGATAACCACCGTAACCGAAAGAAGGTTCTGGAAGGAACCATGGTGCTCTGGGAGATAACTCTGGGAACAGCCTACTTTTTAGGGCTTAGGCGGACTTATAGGCTCGCCTTGAAGATCCAGCGTCGGATTGTTAGCCCCAAGCATCCGAAAATCCGACAATTTCTGCATCGGTGAGATTTTTCTTTTACGAATCGCTTCGATTCTGGTGGCTTCCGATGCTAAGTTTTGATATCGTGTTGTTGCGAAACGAAATCTCATTTGGGAAATTAGGTTTTGTTAGACTGAGAAATTGCACTCTTCTGTAATTGAAATTGCTGATTCGGTTATGCTTCTTAAGTCAAAAATCGATCAACGATCCCCAATGATCAAGATAAGTATCGTGAATCTGGATGATCCTTTAAGTTTTTTTCCCTCAAAATCGAGTCATTTCCGTAAGATGTAGGTTGCGATTTTGGCTCTCGAATTTGTTTGATATTTAGCAATTAAAGCATTTTCGATTCGATTTTTGGAAAGTTAGAAACTAGAATCAACAAGGAAGTGTATGAGATTCTCGTTGGAATTACCTTTTTTGTTTCCAAGAGAATGATCAACTTGAAGGAGCATTAACTATGATTCTTGGAGAAGTTTATGAATTACTTCATTATGTTATCAGACTCGCCATAGAGATAATCAGATAGTGATTCATGTTGAATCGAGTCTAATCTTTGTTATTTCTTTTCTGAGATATGACATAAAGCTTAGATTTCATTTGGTTTATGCATTGACTCGCTCACTTTCTCTTGTGTTTGTTTTTGGCAGGAGGACTCGTAAAATCTTCGATGTGGCAGTGACCGTTCACAAGAACATACAGCATAGAGACATAGAAGTCGGTCGGAATCTCGGAAACTGGATTCTCCGTTGGCTCGACCGGATGAAACCAGCAGCTCAGATCCGTACTCGACCGGAGCTACCACGCAACAGCAACTCCAACACTGACAAGGCCAAAAGGCTATCGGAGTTGCCCCGTCCCAAATCGCAGACAAACACGACGACGCAGTCTCCGCCAAACCGTGATTCCGATAGGCACTTGTTCTCGTCACTGGGACACTTGCGTAACAACCCTTTCCCGTCTGTCTCTACGATGATCCAACCGCCGAGACCCAATGGAACTACTACTCAGTACAGACATTACACTGCTGGTGCAGCCTCCGGTCTGATTCACCCGAGCTATGTAATCAGGAAGGATATTTTGCAGTGGATGGTACAGAGATGATGCATCAAAAATTCCTATCTTTTTCTACTAATTGGGCCCTTTTCTTTTACTTTTAATTCTAGAAGCTAATGTGATTGTGTATAGATTTGGAAGTATGTCGAAAACATGGCAATGTCTTCTTCTTTCTAACGCTTTGATATATTTTGCAACAATAAAGTTTTATGTACATTGAGACTAACATTTGTAGTTTGATACACATACAGCTTTAAAGAAAATCAGAATCATTGTAACGCTTGAGAGAAGGGTCATACATTTGGAGAGGTCGATTCAAGATACATCCGAGTTCGCTGTTGAGAAGCTATGTTCTATGTTCTGTACGTGAGGTTATGGGAGAGATCAAAGAGAATCAAAAGTTTCTCAAGTCACGGTGACTTACCGCAAGAGACTAATCAAGTTACATTGTGAAATCTATTTCATTTTCAAACAAGTTATCTTGAGACTTGCGTAAAGAGAGAAACTTCATAAACCTTAGAAACGTCTTCGGCTATTGATGCAGCGTACAATCGACTTTGTTGGACACTTTGTGGCTTTAGCGTGTTTGACAAGTGTTTATCCGTATTTCCTTTTCGTTTTTGTTATTTTATTTGGTTTTGGGATAATTACACATCCTATTTAGATTAGGTTCAGAAAGATCCTACATGATTTGGGTTTTCTTATTTAAACAGTGTTATCGTCTTTGTGTCATTTAGACTTCTTTTAATATAATCAATAAAACCAAAAAGAGGAAACTCAAGTTTCCCACAAGAGCTTTGTGTTTAAAGCCCTGAGAGGAAGACTTTCGAACCCAGAAGACAACGGAGCACCGTCGCTGTCTTCTAACCTATCCTTCGCTGAATTCTCTCTGAGCTTTCAGTTCCCGTCTCGTTAATATAGCTTCCGCCTCCCATCAGTTGGTATCAGATTCAGCATGTTCTTGGCGTTTGTTGATTTCACGATGCCTCTGAAACAGAACAACAATCCGGTCGGCAACATGGACGAATTTTGTGCTGCACTCCTCGCGATGCAGGAAAATCTTCAAGCAACGCTTCATGCCTCCATTCAGGAACTGGGAGAGAGACCTTGTGCACTCGCTTAGACGCACGAAATCTATGTGGGGATCCAGGGCGTGACGAGGTCAACAATCCTTTCGCGCATCGTTACCAAGAGTCGGAGGAGTTCGAGGAAGATGAAGATTACCGTCGGCGACAGCGTCGTGATGATAATCGCTGGGAGTCGGGATTTAAAGTTGGCATACCCGTGTTTCATGGTGGCGTGAAAGGTGATGCGTTACTTGATTGGATCGTGGCCGTCGAAGAAGTATTGGATTTTAAAAGGGTTCCCGACGACCGTCGCGTACCTCTTGTCGCTACCAAATTCAGAAACCACGCGGCTTCATGGTGGCAGCAACTCGCATAAGGAATGGGAAAAGTCCTATCCGTACCTGGGAGAAACTCAAACGTCAGCTGCGGAAGACCTTTCTTCCTCACAATCATGACCGCACGACTTTTACCCGCCTTCAAAACCTGAAGCAAGGCTCGTGATCTGTTGACGATTATGCAGAAGAGTTCTACTTGTTGCTTACACGTAACGAGATCAAGGACAGTGACACTCAGATTGTGTCGCGTTTTATTGGGGGACTTCGACCCCAGTTACAGAACGGTCTTGCTCAGTTTGACCCTGTGTCTGTTGCTGAAGCTCATCGGCGAGCTGCTTCCTTCGAACAGCAATTTCGCTCCTCCACCTGGACTCCTAACACCGCCAAACCACGCACACTCGAATCGTCACCAAGTCAGACATATGCACCAATGCGTGATATAGATACACCACGTGCACAACTTGAAGATGATGCTACCCTGTGGAGATCTTCGAGACCTAACGCGTTGCGATGTTATGCCTGTGGTGAACCAGGACACCGACAAACTGCGTGTCTCAAACAGCCTAAACGCGGTCTCGTTATTGATGATAATACAGAAGAGCGCATGGTTATCTATGATTCAGCGGGAGATGATGATTCGCCTGCAGATGCTTCGATAATTCAGACTCGCGGCGACGAAGGAACACTCTTGGTTCTGAAACGCACTTGTCTGGTGCCTCCGTCTCGTGGAGATTTGTGGCTTAGGACCAATATATTTAAATCCACTTGCACCATTCGCGACCGGATTTGCTCCTTCATCATCGATTCTGATAGCTCACGGAATGTTATCGCTGAAGATGCGGTTGTCAAATTGGGTCTACCGTATGAGATTCACCCGACCCCTTATGCCCTCACATGGGTGCAGGATGGCGTTGCAGCTCAGGTCACTCATCGTGCTCTAGTCGCTTTATCCATTGGTCCCCACTACAAAGATCGTTTCTATTGCGATATCGCCCTGATGGATGTGAGCCACCTGATTCTTGGTCGACCTTGGGAATTTGATAGAAAAATTGTCCACGATGGTGCCAAGAACACCTACAGTTTCATTTGGGAAACACATAAGATCTTATTACTTCCGACACGGGAACAATGGAAATCCCAAGTTCCTCTACCTCCGCCTGCAACTCCTGTTCCATCAATCGCGTTTCCACCACATACACCTCTGATGTGTTCTTTTACGACTTTTAACGAGGAATTTAAATGCGAGGGCGTTATGTTTCTCCTTTTATCGACTCAAACTGCACCAGCCTCCACGCCGTCGTCGCAGGGTTTCGCGAAGCTACTGTCTGAATTCGACGATGTCTTCCCAGCAGAGTTGCCTCTAGGGTTACCGCAGTTGCGTGATATTCAACATCAGATCGACTTAACTCCTGGAGCATCGTTGCCAAATCGCCCACATTACCGTATGTCCCCGACGGAGCACGAGGAGCTTTGGCGCCAAGTCGAAGACCTGCTTGCCAAAGGCCATATTCGAGAAAGTCTGAGTCCGTGTGCGGTGCCCGCCTTACTCATCCCAAAGAAAGACCGCTCCTGGAGAATGTGTGTTGATAGCCGCGCAATCAATAAGATCACCGTGCGTTACAGATTCCCGATTCCCCGCCTCGACGATTTGCTAGATCAGATTGGGGCTGCTTCCGTGTTCTCAAAGATTAATCTCAAGAGCGGTTACCATCAGATTCGTATTCGCCCGGGAGATGAATGGAAAACAGCGTTTAAAACGAGAGAAGGACTATTCGAATGGCTGGTCATGCCTTTTGGTCTTTCGAATGCACCCAGCACCTTTATGCGAGTTATGAACCAGGCCCTTCGACCATTCATTGGCAAGTTTGTTGTCGTCTACTTTGACGATATTCTGATTTTCAGCTCGTCTGCTACGGAGCACGCACACCACCTTCGTGACGTTTTGGGTGTTTTACGCAAAGAGAAGTTTTATGCTGGAAAACAGAAGTGTGAATTCGGATTATCACAGGTTTTTTTTCTCGGTTATGTGGTCTTTGATAAAGGGTTATCTGTGGATCTTGCCAAGGTCGAGGCTGTCAAATCATGGCCTACGCCTACAACGGTAACGAAGGTTCGCAGCTTTCACAGCCTTGCGTCTTTCTACCGGCGCTTTGTGCCTCACTTCAGTACGATCATGGCACCTATCACAAGCTGTATGCGCGACGGGAAGTTCGTATGATCCCCGGAAGCTGACGTCGCATTTCACATTTTCAAAGAAAAACTTACCACAGCCCTGATTCTTGTTCTTCCTGACTTTGGCGTGACGTTTGAGCTTCACTGCGACGCCTCTAAGTTAGGCATTGGGGCCGTACTCAGTCAACAGGGCCGACATGTGGCTTATTTTAGTGAGAAGTTGTCGGGCGCGCGAGGCAGATATAGCACATACGATGTGGAATTCTACGCGACTGTCCAAGCGATACGACATTGGCGTCATTACTTGGTGCATCGCGATTTTGTGCTGTTTACAGATCACGACGCTCTGCGACATTTGGATAGTCAGGCCAAAGTTTCTTCTCGCCATGCGACGTGGATCGCTTTCCTGCAACAATTTACCTTCTCTATTAGGCATCAGTCCGGGAAGCTAAATAAGGTAGCGGATGCTCTTAGTAGACGTCACTCGGTACTTACGACAATGCATACTTCGGTTTCGGGCTTTGCATCGTTTGCATTCTTGTACCCAGTTGATCCTTTCTTTGCTCCTGTTTTGTCTGATTTACGCGATGGTCTTGCTTCTAAGTTTCAACTACAAGATGATTTCATTTTCTTCGGACTGCGATTGTGTATTCCAGACTGTAGCCTACGCCTGAAAATAATTAGTGATTTGCATAATGAGGGGCATGTGGGGCGAGACCGGACTCTTAATCTCGTTGTTGCTGCGTATTATTGGCCATCCCTTCGCTGTGACGTTGAGAAGTTTGTGTTGCGATGCCGTGTGTGTCAGTTGGCTAAGGGTTCGGCGTCTATTGTGGAGCTATATTTGCCCTTACCGGTTCCGTCTCAGCCTTGGTCTCACGTGAGTATGGACTTTGTCCTCGGTTTGCCGCGCACTCAGCGTGCGAATGATTCGATATTCGTGGTGGTGGATAGATTCTTGAAAATAGCACATTTTGTGGCATGCAAGAAGACTGCGGATGCTCTTCACGTGGCTTCACTATTTTTCAAAGAAATTTACCGATTTCATGGTTTGCCTTTGTCGATTGTTTCAGATAGAGATACACGTTTCCTTAGTCACTTCTGGAGATCTCTTTGGCGCTTATTACATACGTCACTTGACATGAGCACTGCTTATCATCCTCAGTCCGATGGCCAGACCGAGGTGACAAATCGGGCGTTGGGTAACCTGCTTCGTTGTTTAGTGGGTGACAACATCAAAAGCTGGGACGTCAAGCTTCCTCATGCGGAATTTGCTCATAACCACTCCACTAATCGCAGTTCCGGCTTCAGCCCGTTCAAAGTGGTTTACAGGTGTGTCCCTCGTTGTCCGGTGGACCTCGCCCCGGTTCCGGATAAGACTCGTTTGCAAGGCCAGGCTGTGGAGTTTGTTGACGACCTCCAAGTTATTCATCGTCAAACAAAAGAGAACTTGGAGCGTGCAAATGAGAAGTAT